GAGGAGGAGGAGGAGGAGGAGGAGGAGGAGGAGGAGGAGGAGGAGGAGGAGGAGGACTGTGGGGTCCTTGATACTCTCTGAGCTTGATGGTTTTCCTGCAGATGTTTCATTACCCAACTAGGGAACATCATCAGTGCTAAAAGGGAATGAGGTATGCAGTGAGGAGGAGGAGGAGGAGGAGGAGGAGGACTGTGGGGTCTTGTTTTCTTGCAGATATTTCATTACCCAAACAAGGTAACATAATTAGTACTAGATGATGCTACCTAGTTTGGGTAATGAACTATCTGCAAGAAAACAACCAAGCTCAGAGGCCACCAAGGACCTCCTCCCCCCTGTGCCAGATCAAGCATTAATTCACATTTAGAAGCCTCTTAGAATATGAACCCCCCCCCCTTCCCCCCTTTTTTTTGAGAAATTTGCATACTTCATCAATACGATGCACTTATCCTATGAAAGGGTGAAACGGTTGCAAAACGTTGGAAAGAATAAGGTAATCAACCTCTAGATCTCAGAATCCTTTTTTTTTTTTTTTTGGTGATGATTCATGGCTGAGCAAGGAGAAAGTAAACGGAGATATTTACGAAGGTTTGTTCCATGAGGTTCTGTGCGAAGAAAGCTGGGCTCCTTCGACCAACGTGTTTTTATGAACACCCAGATGGAAAGGGGGTGTCTCCAAAAAGGCTGTTTTTGATTTCCCTCCGTTGCTCCAGCAAATTAAGTAAATCACAGCCGCCGAGGCAAGAAATAAAATTATCAGAAGGCACTTTTCACCTTGATTACTCAACTGGAGATGTAAATTTCTGAGATTCTACCGACAGCTCTAACGAAACCCTCGTTTACAACAGGATTTCGTTGCAATCAGGAAATCTTTGATCATTTTCAGGTAGAAATGGAACCGGCCACGATAAATTTTTACAATCCATCTACTAGTTTTTACAATCCGTTCAGGCAAAATGATATATATATATATTCGAAAAATCCTTTCTTAGAAGCCAAGAGGAACATACTTAACATGTCAAGTTTGTAGGCTTTATGGTTCTGGAGATTTTGTGATGATGCATGAGTGGAATATAGGATGAATACTGGAATATATGAGGAATACTGCTATTATATATATTCTCCAGTGCACCAGAAGGCAGGACAAAAAGCAACAGATGGGAAATAATCAAGGACAGAAACAACCTGGAATGAAGGAGAAATTTCCTAACAGTGAGGACAATTGACCAGTGGAACTGCTTGCCACCAGAAGTTGTGGGCGATCCATCACTGGAGGTTTTTAAGAAGAGACTGGACACTTGTCTGAAATGGTGTAGGATCTCTTGCTTGAGCAGGGGGCTGGACTGGAAGACCTCCAAGGTCCCTTCCAGCTCTATTCTGATTGACTGTTTATTACAGAACCGTTCCAGCCTCCAAGGGATCTTCTCTTCCAATTTCTCCTATCCTTCCCATCTTGACTACCTTGGAACTCCTTGGAAACCAAGCCTTGTAATTACAGTATAATTTGGGGTGTGATAGAGGTTGTTTTGTTATTTTTGAAGGGGGGGACATTGCCTAGAAGCGCGAAGTATTTCCCGAATGAAAACTCCTCGTCCACATTTAATTAAAGGCAACTTTTAGAAGCTACAAAGGATCATGAGCCTGTTAATGGTTAATTAATGGTTCTTTAGGAGAAAAAAAAAAGATTTCATTGGTTGTATAATTAGGAGGTGTAAGTTGTTAACACTTTAACAAGGGCTAAAAGAAAAATTACTCACAGCAAAACTCTATTACCAAACTTACTGTCCCTCTCCGTGGGTTATTTTTAAATTTCTAATTTCATCTTCTCTCCTTGCTTACTAAATCCAGGAATCAACTCTCCGGTAGCTTACAAGTCAAAAGCATTTGTTTTTGCCAAAAATAGAACCGAGGATTTCTCATAAAAACCTGCAATTTCTCCAGAAGGTCCCACAGTACGTTGAATATTTACAAGTGGAAGTTATTTCAGGGAAGGCAAAGCCCCAAATCCAATTTTATACCTGGGTTTAGGACATTGCTCCTTTGGAGAAAGGCAACATCGTTCAAAAATATTACTTGGAAGAGGAATGGCCGTTAAACAAATATAATTCACTGCTGTTTACAGAAGATAACTTTGGGGGGGGGGATCGTGGTCCTTCTAAATTCCATCATACGTTGGAGCTCTTTAGCATTTCTTTCTGAAGTTTAATGAGGATGGAGAACAAGCTCTTCTCCAAAGCACCAGAGGGCAGGACAAGAAGCAACAGGTGGAAACTCATCAAGGAGAGATTCAACCTGGAATTAAGGAGAAACGTCCTGACAGTGAGAGAAATTCATCAGTGGAACGGCTTGTGTCCAGAAGTTGTGGGTGATCCATCGCTGGGAGATGCTTTAAGAAGACGTTGGATAACCCTTTGTCTGAAATTGTATGGGGTCTCCTGCCTGAGCAGGGGGTTGGACTAGAAGACCTCTAAGCTCCCTTGCAACTCTGTTATTCTGCATTCTGTTCTCTTAATCTGTTATTCTGTAACGTTCCACCGAATGAATGCTGTGCTTCCAGTTTGTCAGTTACTCAAATATAATTAAGGAAAATTACATCTATGTCTTGTCTTGTCCTGACATATCAGAAAAATCGTAACGTACGTCCTTCTGAATCATCGGAAGCCATAGTGGCACAGTGGTTAGATTGCGGTATTGCAGGCTGACTCTGCTTACTGCCATCAGTTCGATTCTCACCAGCCTCAAGGTTGACTCAGCCTTCCATCCTTCTGAGGTCGGTAAACTGAGGACCCAGATGGTTGGGGGCAAGATGTTGACTCTGTAAACTACTTAGAGAGGGCTCTAAGGCACTATGAAGCGGTATATAAATCTAATTGCTATTGCTATCTAGATCTATCCAGGGGTGGGATTCTACCTGTTCACACCTGTTCGCTAGAACCGGTTGTTAACATTCTAAGCAGTTCGGAGAACTGGTTGTTAGAAGAAATTACTGGGCTAATCCTGTAAGGAAGGCAGGAAGGAAACATTCTGGTGTTGCTTACAGAAACTGCCTCTCTGTTAATCCTTATTACATTCTTGGCAGGACTAGACTTCCTGTCTCAGGAACTTCTCTGGAGTTTTCCCCCCCCTCCTTTGCTGGTACTTTGATTGTGTGGAGCGACCACTCAAAGTTACAATGGCACTGAAAAAAGTGACTTATGACCATTTTTCACACTTACGACTGTGGCAGCATCCCCACAGTCATGAGAGGCCAGATGAGGAGATGCGTGCCTCGATGTGAGTGACATTCAGTTGGCCACACCCTGCCAATAACATGACCACCAAGCCACGTCCACCCAGTCAAATGACCACCAAGTCATGCCCACCACCTAAGCCACGCCCACAGAACAGGTTGTTAAAAATTTTGAATCCCACCCCTGGATCTATCTATGTAGCTATGTATCTCTATCTATCTGTCTATCTATCTATCTATCTATCTATCTATCTATCTATCTATCTATCT